CAAGATGTGAAAAGAAAAAAAAAGGGCATGAGAGAAACATTGCTTTACAAGCCTTACGACTTAATAAAAAAATTAGATATTTTACGTATGAAAACATTGTAATGTTTACTGATAAACTGCCAAATTTCGTTAACATTCACTTACGAATTTAAAAGTTATAGCATGAAAACTATAACAAGCACAAAATGGTTACGAGGTCAATCCCAGAGACTGAGCCTGGGTTGAAAGAGTTAATTAGCAGCCTTTTATCTAGTTTTTAAGTTCAGAATTAGGGACAACTAGCACAAATATCAAAAGCAAACAGGTTGACTATTCAAATGAGAATTAAAAGAAGCTTTTATGGTTTGAGATTACTTTTCATGTTTCTTACATATAGTATTTTAATATTTTGCTTACACTATATCACCATATTGAGGGTCTAACTAATCATTAAGTACAGCTAATAAGCTGTGGAAATTCGTATGTATGCTGCTTTTGAACCTGAATATTTTAGAAGTAATATAACTATAATGTAGTTGCACAAGGTGTTTCATTTACTACTGATTTCATTAAAACACTTATTTAGGGAATGTTATTCAGTAAAAATTAAACTCTACAAACATTTACTGGGCCTGTAAACAGAGGGTTAATTCAGATATGACCATATATCTGTTACATTTTAAAACTGGATGAAACAGCTTAACTTTTAGTACTTCCTGTATGCTCCATTTATTATCTTGTTTATAATTAGAAATAATGTTACTAGTAGTTTGTTAATTGGTAACAAAAACTTTTGTGCAAAACCTTGCTAATAAAGGCAAAGAACATACCTTGAAAATATTTTGAATAGCTCTACTTGGTATTATGTGAAAAAAAATTGTGATAGATCTTAACCAGTGGAAATAGATAAGTTAAATGTTTAAAGAAAGAAATTTAAAATCAGACAATACACATGTAATTTGTCAATTCAATGCTACTGAATACTAACAATCATGATGAAAGAATTGACACAAAGAATCATCAAAATATTAAAGTAGATTTGACATTTTCTAGTAGCTTGATCACTTTAAAATAATTGACTATTATTATTCAGGAGCAAAAAATGGTAAAAGTTAACTCTTTCAATATGGGCTCGGTCAATTTGACTGACCACGTGACCTCTTTGTGCTCGTTTAAAGTCTTTATAGATTTAATACTTTAATAAATTTCAATACAGTGTGTATATTTTCACAAAATTTGGCAGTCTTTCGGTTAATATTATAAGTCTTTCACATACAAAAAATCATATTTTTAAGTGAAGTATTTTTAATAAAATAAAGATTTTTCCAAGAATATATTGAGTATCTGTTTTGAATAGTCCATGTATAAAGTAATTTTCATGTTAAAATTAACAATATATTTCCTCATTTCAAAAATCTCAAATTTCCTTTGTGTAATCCCTAAAACATCCTAAACACATATCAGACTTTTTTTTTTCTGTAAAACTTTATAGTTTATCTGTTATTTTCTGTACCCTATCTCAAAATGGAATTGGTCAATTCTACTGACCTTGTAACCACCAAAAAAAAATCTAAATTACTCTTTTTTTTTTTTTTCTTTCAAGAATGAATTGATATTGTAACATGAAACTAAATTATTTTATTCTAAGTAGCTCTAAGTTTGTAACAGTATACATCTATTTATAATTAAATTTGATTGTTTTATTGCTGTTTGAGCTGAGTCTAACTACTATCTGTGCCAATATAAGTTGAAAATCACTCGGGGAATGTGCAGCTCACGTTAAACTAACAAATTACATTACCCACGAGCTGCTTGTGTGTGTGCCTCATGAAACATTTTTATTATAATATTATTATTATTTATTTTACCTAATCTAATCTTAACTAACCTAAAAGGATCCCTCTTTTTACATTTTAATTACTTTTATAATTGTAGATAAAGAATATACATGAAAAACAAGAAATAAAATACTTAACCAATCTTCTTTTTTTTTGCCGTGAATTGTCGAAGAGAGTTAACCCTAATTATTGTATACTAATTATAGCAATGAGCTTAATAACTTTTATTTAATTAAATAATGCACCAAACAATATAGACTAATAACATGCAAAAAGTAGACAAATTCACTTACCTCAAAATTATTCTGGCTTTCTAACTATGCGGCAAGAGTTGTTACAAATTCATATAAGCTAGTTACTCTCCTATTTGACTCCTATCCAGACATCGCTCCCTAATCTAAATCACTCCATGTCTGATGCTACTTGTGGCTCCACATTGGCTGGCACAACCATGGTTCTCTCTGCTTTGACTTTCACTTGTATATCCTCTCCTTACCTCTGTTGTGGTCTTTACTCTGTCAACCTTGGTCAGACATTGTTCATTCAAATGTCAGCACATTCCATCTTCATGCATGGCTTTTGTCAGGTCCATTGCCTCAACCCAGGGACTGACTCCACATGTTGTATCTTTCCTTTC